ACATCCCGACTCCGCGTTCTTACGCGGAGGCCGTAGAGGGTCCCTACTCCTCTCAGTGGCAGGCAGCTATGGATGCAGAGATGGCTTCCTGGAAGTCCACAGGCACCTACGTTGACGCGGTTCCCCCTCCTGGGGCGAACATCGTCAGTGGCATGTGGATCTTCAGGGTGAAGCGGCCGCCGGGCTCTCCACCTGTCTTCAAGGCACGGTACGTTGCTCGTGGCTTCAGTCAGCGGCAGGGAGTTGACTACTTTCAGACCTTCTCTCCCACCCCGAAGATGACTACTCTTCGGGTGCTGCTGCACATAGCCGCTCAGCGCGACTACGAGCTTCACTCTCTCGACTTCAGCACTGCGTTCTTGCAGGGTAGCCTGCACGAGGAGATCTGGCTTCGCCGTCCACCTGGCTTCACTGGGACTTTCCCTCCTGGCACCCAGTGGAGCCTCCGACGGCCAGTCTACGGTCTCCGCCAGGCACCGCGTGAGTGGCACGACACACTGAGGACTACGCTTGCGGCTCTTGGGTTTGCTCCTTCTACTGCTGACCCGTCGCTGTTTCTTCGCACCGACACTTCCCTGCCGCCGTTCTACATCCTCGTGTACGTCGACGACCTGGTCTTTGCCACAGCGGACACTGCTGGACTCGCCTACGTGAAGTCCGAGCTGTTGAAGAGACACACGTGCACAGACCTGGGTGAACTGCGCAGCTACCTTGGCTTGCAGATCACTCGGGACAGAGCACGCCGCACCATTACCTTGACTCAGTCACACATGGTGCAGCAGGTCCTTCAGCGCTTCGGCTTCACGTACTCCTCGCCTCAGGCCACTCCTCTGCCTACTCGCCACTCACTCTCAGCTCTGCCTTCGGATGAGTCCGTAGAGTCGAGTGGTCCGTATGCGGAGCTTGTTGGCTGCCTCATGTACCTGATGACCTGCACACGACCTGACCTTGCATACCCTCTGAGCATTCTTGCACACTATGTTGCTCCTGGGAGACACAGACCGGAGCACATGGCTGCAGCGAAGAGGGTATTGCGCTACCTGTGCAGTACGTCAGGCATGGGGCTAGTGCTTGGAGGGCGGAGTCCAGTGGTCCTTACCGGCCACGCGGACGCTTCTTGGGCTGACGACCAGGCTACGCAGCGGTCGTCACAGGGTTACACCTTCAGCCTTGGTTCCGGCTCTGTCTCGTGGCGGTCTACTCGCTCGTCTTCGGTTCTCGGCTCCAGTTGTGAGGCTGAGATCTACGCCGGGGCCATGGCTGCACAGGAGCTTCGCTGGCTCACCTACCTGCTGACTGACCTTGGAGAGCCGCCTCGTTCTCCTCCAGTGCTGTACGTAGACAACAAGGCTATGCTGGCCTTGTGTCGAGAGCAGCGCTTGGAGCACAGAACGAAGCACATTGCTCTCCGCTACTTCCTTGCTCGTGAGCTGCAGCAGCGTGGTCAGTTGCAACTTGCGTACGTGGCCTCTGAGGCCAACACTGCTGATGTGTTCACCAAGGCACTTGCGCCTTGTGACCATCAGCGCTTCTGCACCCAGCTGGGTCTTGTGCCTGTCTTGCCTCACTTGCTCTCCTCTTGACTTCACTTGTACTGTGACATATATATATACCTGCTCTTGCTTGTCTAGCTTTATATATATGTCTGTACTCTTGCTTGTGAACTGGCCTTTGGCCTTGCTCTTGTGCTCGGACTGTGTGGTGACTTTGTGATCCACCCTGAGCTTTGCTTTGTCTTGCTTGACTGGTCTTGTGACCCCTTGTTCTCCCCCACTTTGCCTATGGGGGTGTGTCAGAACATATCTATAGCTTATACTGCTGTGTAGGCTGTAGTGGGGTATCCCATAGGGGGTACAACCCAGTTAGGGTTTCATATTTGTACTGCTTTCATTCATAGTTCATTCATTCCTGTTTTCCTATTTTCACAGTACGGTGATAGTTTGATTGTTGAATATTAACTACTGCATATGAATGTTAGGGAATGTGGTACGTTGCATGCACTTTACTACTAGGAGAAAAAGAGCAACGAATTGCCATGACTTGAAGATATATGAAACTCCATATGACCGGCCATAAACATTACTGCCCCTGACCATTAGTACGCACAGGCGCAATCCACGCGCTGTATTCACACGTGCAAATGACGAGGCAAATGCAGACGCACATATGACCGGTCATATGTGCACGCGCATATGACCGGTCATTAACGGACGAGCATATTACCTCACCAATGACCGGATGGGTACAATGTTACCACGCGAGCCTGACGTTACGTGCCAAGGACGGATGCGTTTTGAGGTCTACTTTCCATCATGTGATTTTGTATCGCGAAATTAGGGTTCACGACAATTAGGAAATTGCATATATGTGCACCGGAATAGACATATTGTATACATAGATGAAACATATTTTGAGTGGAGTGTAAGTAGCGAAATGTTAGAAGGACCTGATAGTCCTTAATCTCGTGTCCATCACATCAATACACAACAACGCTAAACATACTACCACCCGGTACAGCCCATGCAACACACTCATGGGTAATATTACATCCCTTAGCCACTATACTCTCAAGAACGGAATGGTGGTTCGATTAAGGTTGGTTGGGGTGCGTAAACCTAACCCATACTGCTATACCCCATATAACAACCCTCATGTAAAAATATATCATACGACGATACCGTTCACGTATCCAGACTTTTTTTTTGGCCATATCCATGTTACCAGGAATGGAGTGTTGGCCCTGCCCTCGCTTGGGCAACGCCGGCGACTTGGTCGGATGTACGGGAGTAGCAACCGACCGTTCACAGTGGAGAGCTGCTCGACAGGATTCGTCGAGCTGCAGGGGACCGCTGTGGTGTTGCTATCGACCAGGGAGCTCGACAGCTGCAACTGACTGGTCTGGGCGACGGGTGGGGCGTCGACCAGGACCTACAGCTCGACCAGGAGGTCTTCGGAGCATTCTGTCGACCTAATGTTCGACTTGGAGTTTCATACGTGTACCCATCTCCTTGTTAGTTCAACCACTCATTGTTTTGTAATTTTCACACACATTGCGTGGATGTTGCGCATTTGGAAACTAGGGTTGTATGCTTCTAGAACATTGCCGTTGTGCTAGATCAACTGCAAATTTTTGGGGTTACATGTATTGTACATACAGAATTATGTATCGTTATCAGGCCTTTTAAGGCGCGCTGACGCGCCTTTTTAAATAGCGTATGGCGCTTTATGACCGGCCATATAAGACGTGCATAAGACCGGTCATAGAGGAACGCGCATTGCACAGGTTGAATGGCACGTCTAATTGCCCGATCAATTACTGGGTGAATTTCCATTGGTCGAAGATACTGTCGGAAATGGTTGGCAATCCAACCCTCGTATGGAATTATGAAGAGATGCGTGTTCACTCTGTGCCGGGGTCCGACAGTGTGACAATTGGGCTCGCACGTAACAGCGCAACCATGAGTTTCGTGCCTCGTGTGGTTTCGCGAGTTTAAAATAACACGTTCGTACAAAGTAGTTTCGCTCACGAAATCGAGTTACCATCGATTCAATCGCGAGCTACAGAAATGATCCGCATCCATTTAGCTAACCTGAATCACGGTGTTTCACCCGATCAATTTCAAGCCGATCGTGTTCTTATCTCTGAGTCACACAGCACAGAAAATTAGGGTTGTCGTTGTAGTCACGCTACTATAGCTTCTAGGTCTTAGTCCGGGACAGCTCCACGTAGCATCACCTCGTAATTACATATCACAGCTGCGGACGGCGCGTTGCATATCGTTACTATGACAGGTCGCGCCGCTAGAGGTAGGAAGGCCGCGAAAAACACCCGTGATGACACACCGGCTGGGAAACTCTCTCGAAAACGGGAAAATGCGTCACAACCCGACGTAGAGTCTGGCGAGGATGACGGGCGTCGTCGAAGCGATAGGCTGAAGTTGGCGCATGCACACTACTCGTCTACTAAAGAGCAGGGCGCCACGAATCTTGAGCCGGTGGTATTGAATAAGGTAGCCCCTCACGATTACGGCCTGGAGCCCCCGTTTGACTCACCGTTGGTACACTCTCCGCCGGACGACCTTATCGCAAAAATCACGGCAGATGTTCAAATCCCGTTTCTAGATACTCATGAGGAGACTAGCACTATTGCGGCCAAGTTAAAGCATCCATTGTTTCCCACCAATGCGATTCGTGATCATCACGGAATGACGGCAATTATTTCGTTGGCCGATGCTCTCCACATCACCGACAACCAGCCGATCACGCAGCCGTTGATAGATTTTCATAACATGTGAGTGTCACACCGCGGACATGCTGTATCATTTGCTGCAGTTGTGGGGCCATTATCACGATGGCCGGTCTTGTTGCCATACCCACATCTTCTGATTCTAACGCAAACGACTCCCTATTGCTTTTGACCTATTTAATGGCTGTGTAAACGCAGAGTGCTGAACATCCGCCAGCCCAAGTTGAGCAACGGCAAGACGTGGCTCGCGTTGGACAGTCAGAGTTACGACTACTTCTGCTCTCGAGGCAAGATAGCCGAATGTGTCACGGGACCGTCGATCTTCAGCTACGACTATCTGGCCATGCCAATCTATGGCGGGTAAGTTGCAGTATCACGATTCGCTAGTCTCTCCAACTCTCTAACGTCTTCTGCCGTTGTAATGCCTAAGCACTGACAAATATTGTGGATTAACGAACGATGCAGGTTTCATTTCAGTGTCATGATTGTCGTCAACCCTGAAGTTGTGACTCTCCCGCTCGACGAGGACAGCACCACAGAGCCTGCGTGGTTGCTGCTATACGACTCTTTCGGGATGCATGCTGTGGGGGGCAATGCTTTCAAGAACATGACCAAGTAAGTTTTTTTTTTGGGTGCGTACGACCATTCCCACACAAGCACTCCAACATAGCTCTGCTAGCTTATGTCTCACTAAACCACACACTAATCCGCCTTTTTTATATCACAAATTCGACCGGGTGACAGCTTGCTTGGCATGGCCTTCGAGAAGGAGCATGGCAACCGCACGGTAGAAGAGATGAAGGCGAGGCTTGGGCGCTTCAAGCCACACGTCATGGAGGTGAGTTGACTTGAATAACGCTCGTCAACCATGCTACAACATCCCGTTGTCAAATGATTCTACATGCCACCCCTTGTCAAATGATGCTCGTGTACTCTATTGTTCTCATTTATGCTGCATGTGGCATTGGTGTTTAGCAGGCGTGGCAAATGCCTCTGCAGCAGAATGAATATGACTGCGGCATCTTTGTATGCCAGTACATTCAAGCGCTAGTGGAGGCATGCTTCGAAGGTGCTGAGCATGGGGTCCGGTTCAGCATGAGCCCACTGGCATACCGGCGTGTTATACGGGAGGATGTGTGCGCCCTGGCAGAAGGACGGCTGATCGGGGAGCTCATAGCAGCTGGGCATGAGATCCCTCCTGGCAATGAGATTAGGAAACCACCTGAGTTTGAGGTGATTGGCGATGAGGTGGAGGATAGGGAGTGGAGAGCGGAGATGGCAGAGCGGATGCATAGGCTGGAGGTTCGAAATGAGAGTCAGGCAGTGGCTATTGCCAAGCTCGAGAGGCAACTGCGTGAGCTGATGCTGTCCCGTACTCCACAGCCGGGCATTGGCGGTGTGGATATAGGGGAGGGACATGGTGATGTGGGAGGGGACGTTGCAGGAGAGGGACATGTTGATGTGGGACAGGTAGCTACAGGGCAGGGACATGGGGATGCGGGAGGGGATGCTGTAGGGGAGGGACATGGGGATGTGGGAGGGATCAACGCTGGCACACATGACAGCATGAGAGGTGCACATGGCGAGGGTCCTGAGGCTGACGTTGAGGCGGGTGTAGGTGGGATTAACAGTAAGCTTGAAAAAGATGGAGATGGTGATATGGCGGACGGTGCGAGGAGGGACAATGAGGAACTGGGGTTGCGTGATGAAGGTGCCAAAGGGTTGTTGGGTACTACGGATGGTAACAGAGGTGCAAGAGAGGCCGTGGGTGCTGGGCATGGTGTGACAGCCTCGAACGCGGATGTGGATTTAGTGTCCGCCCACAGCACAGGGACAGAGACAACGAGTCGCAACACTGCGCGTGGTCGAGCTCCTAGCTCTGGCTATACTGGCGTAACCAAACGGGAAGGTAGGTGGGCGGCACGACTGTGCGTAGATAGCGCAAAGAGTAAGTTTTTAGTGCTTGGACGGTATACGGAGATCTTGGATGCCGCAAAAGCATATGCCGCAGCCGCCCACATTTGCCGACCGTCCCTCTCCAGCTCAACGATGGTGGAGTTGAGCGTGGAGGAGAGGCGGTGCTTGGAGGGACTGACGACGCAAGGGGTTGCAAGGATAGTGGAGGCCAAGCGGTGGGCAGAGTGGAGGAACTGGCGAGAAGTGCTCGGCAGCCTCCCTGAGCCTTCCATCCCAACGCCAGCAGGAGTACACACACAGGCTCCACCCCCCTTTTCCCACCAGCACCCTGGAGCCACGTTTGGCAACTACCACCCGCCAGCCGCCGCCTTCGCGGGACACGCCGGTGCAGCCCTTAACCCTGGTGCATGGCAGCCGTACAATCAGAACCGCCCTCCTCCCAACCTCCATTTTCCATCCCAGCAGTTTGCTTTCAACCAAATCCCAAACCATCCATTCAGCCAGGTGCAAGCCCCTATCCCCGTACACCCAACCCCTTCATTACCCATTGCTCCCAACCCTGCAGGCCATGCCGCTTCACAGAACACAGCACCCCATCCGCATGTCCTACCAACACCACCATCCGTTGCACCCAGTACGGCACATCCAGTATCTGACCCACAAACCCAACCAGTCCGACCCGCAGGGCAAACTGGACAGGTCAGGGTACATGGCCTGACATATTCACAGTCGACTTCTCCCAACAATCCCAACCCAACGTCCCACGGCTCCGCACTGGCAAGCGAGCCAGCAACAGGTGAGATGTGTGGTTGTGTCATATTAGTGCTTATTCATATGCTGTAGTTTCACTAAACTCTGCATTAATCTAATGAACTTGTTTGCTAAACCTGTGCAGGGGCGGCGGACGACATCATCGATGCCTTTCTGCACAATAACTGATGAGACGTATGGTCAACAATGACATTGCGTGCTCAGTACACATCAAATCTACGTAATATCATTGTAGCCATGCGTAGAGGTCGACATGCCTACAGATACAATAAACCCTATGATTGCTAAATGAACGGACCGCACAGTGTTATAAAGATACAATGGCAAAACACCGGTAGTGAACGTCTCCCGATTCTATTAATATAGTTGTTTACTAATAAAACAGATCGCACACACATTCGAGCACCACATATGCGCGCTCATATAGGTAAATGCGCGGTTTTATATGAGCGCGATCTTACATGACCGCGCCTGATTGGACGCGCAAGGTAAAAAAGTACTTTACGCATAGAGTCGACCAATCACACGCGCTCTGTAATTGGTCGCGCGTGTGGACAGTCGTGCAATTGAGTATATGATCGGGGATTCATATCTCTATGCGCGGATTGGTCAATCATTGGACCGAAAATGAGCGCGACTGTTCGCCGAACATGATCGTGTTGATTATTGTCGTGTATTCGAACGATGACGTGGCCGCTCTCGCGCACGTCACCCAGCCGAAAAAATCGGGCGGAAAAACACACGCCACGTTTTTGCGGGAAGAGTTACGAACGACGTGAGAAAAGCAGGGCTAAAAACCGGTTTTGGGTAATGTGCCGGATAAAAAAAAAGCCAGAGGAAACCTCTGGCAAGACCACTCGAGCAATTATCATCAAATTGTCCGACTACGGTAGCAAATTGAGCCTACGTGTGCAACGGCAAATCACCGTTTCCGGGTCTGGAGAAAATCTCTCTTTAGAAGTTGACCAGAGGGAGTTTTCTGGTGTGGGCTTTGGCGAGAGTTTCCGATTTCGTCTAGGTTCGTTTTTTTCGCGAGACCCAGCCAACCCTCGGTTTTCCCCCTGGTGAGTGAATCTGTCTTCGGAAGTCCCAAATTGCAAGTGCGTGACTTTCAAAAGCTTGGACACTCAACTTCGTCAAATTTAAAAACTTGACCCTCGCGGCCTGCAATTTGGGACGCGGGTTTTAAGAGGCAACGCATTACGGTCTGATCCGATCGCATTGCTACAATGATGGGACTTTTATAGAGGTCTCCTTGGGTTGGGGTTGAACCTTCAGAAAACAATAACCCTTGGTAGACCCTCAGTCGTATACCATTCTGATAACGGAGGAATTCGTAGCGGGTTTAGATTGGAACGGATCGATCATCCCTTTTTCACGCAGACCACAAACCCATACCCTCAACCCTTTCCCGAATCCCGAATTCGGAAACACCTCCATACCAGATCTGGCAGCAATCGGCGCAGCACGCCTCTAGTCTCCGCAACTCACGCATCCTAGAAAGTTTTTCTATCTATTCACCCCCGCGTGACTATAGCGGGCGGCATGGCGGCGGTGAGCGCGGACGCGGTGTGCGCGTGGCTGCTGCAGACGACGAGCGCGGACGAGGCGGCCGTGCGATCCGCCAGCTCAGCGTTGGAGGAAGCTTCCAAGCACCCGGGATTCCTGGGCCACGTGTTGTCCGTCGCAGCAGGTGCTCATAGTTTGCCGCCGCCCTTCCCCCACTCTTCTTTCCCCCGGATCGCTCCCTTCGCGCACCTCGCGAGGTCGCCGTTTACTTCGCTTAGGATTCTGGAGACGAGCTTCGGTCTCCCGCATTTTCGGAGGAGTAGGTCGAGATTCGTTCCACTTGTTCTGGCCCTCCTCGTCCTCATTGAGGTCGTTTTTGAGGCGCCTCAAAAACGACCTCATTTTCGGAGTAGGTCGAGATTCGTTCCACTTGTTCTGGTCCTCCTCGTCCTCATTCTCATTCTGATTCTCGCCGTGCGGTTGACACCTCGCTTTTGAGTCGACTCAAAGGCGGACGCATTTTCGGAGCAGGTGAAGATTCGTTCACATAGTTCTCGTCCTCCTCGCCCCCCTGCTTCTCCTCGCCCCCCTGCTTCTCCTCGCCCCCCTGCTTCTCCTCGCCCCCCTGCTTCTCCTCGTCCCCTGATTCTCCTCGTCCCCCCTGCTTCTCCTCGTCCCCATTCTCATTCTGACTCTCGCCGTGCGGTTGCCACCTCGTGCGGGAAGAGTTGTCCTTCTTTCCCTTTCGAGCCGATCTCGGCCGTACGATGCGATCTCAGCCGTGCCATTGAGATTTCGACCGTACATTCTCCGTGCAATCGCATTGCGGGTGGCACTCGGCAATTGGACTCAACACTTCATACCAAAACCCGAACTCTACTGTCCTCCTTCCACGTCGCCTCTCCGCCCAGTCCCCGGATCCCCCATGGCTCTCACAGTGGCCCCCCCCCATTTTACCCTCCCCCCGGCTTCCCCCTTCCCCCCCTTCCCCTCTTCCCCAGTGCCCAACTCCCCAGCAGCCCTGTATTTCAAGAACGTAGCAGTGGCGAAGCGGAGGGGCGCGGGCAGCAAGTGGCGGGTGCAGCCGCCCATACCCTCACCCCTTCCCTCCCATTCCTCCCCTCCTTCCCCCCCGTTCCTCCCCCAGTGCCCAACTCCCCAGCAGCCCTCCCCGCGGCCCTGTATTTCAAGAACGTGGCGGTTGGCGAAGTGGAGGGGCGCAGGCAGCATGGCCACCTCTCAATTCCCTTCCACACCCTCCCGTGTCTCCCCCTCCTCCTCTCTCCCTCCCCCCAGTTCCCAACTCTCCAGCAGCCCTCCCCGCGGCCCTGTATTTCAAGAACGTGGCGGTGGCGAAGTGGAGGGGCGCGGGCAGCAAGGGGCGGGTGCAGCTGCCCGGGGGGAAGGAGGAGCAGGAGGCAGTGCGGGTGCAACTGGTGGAGGTGTTATTGCGGTCTGGGCAGGGGAAGATTCTGAGCGTGCTTATTGAAGCGGTATGTGACTGTAAAGGGGGTGGGGAGGGCTTGCTCTTGTGGGTAGTTCCAAAGGAGGTGTGACACTCACACAGGGAGCAGGAGGGGTGCAACTGGTGGAGGTGCTACTGCGGTGCACCCAGGGGAAGATTCTCAGCGTGCTCATGGAAGCGGTATGTGATTCTAGGGGAATGAATTAGCCTGAAGGTAGTCTCAGAGGGGATATGAGTGACTCTAAAGGGAGGAGCAGGAGGCAGTGCGGGTGCAACTGGTGGAGGTGCTACTGCGGTCTGGGCAGGGGAAGATTCTGAGCGTTCTTATTGAGGCGGTATGAGTGGTTCTATGGGAGGAAATGTGCGTGTAGGTAGATTCAGAGGGAACATCAGTGCCTCTACCACCAGCCACAGGGAGCAGGAGGCGGTGCAGGTGCAACTGGTGGAGGTGCTACTGTGGTGCACCCGCGGGAAGATTCTGAGCGTTCTTATTGAAGCGGTATGTGGCTGTATAGAGATAGTGGCTTGTTCTTGTGGGTAGTTGTAACAGGGGTGAAACTCCCTGCAAAAGGAGGAGCAGGATACAGTGCGGGTGCAACTGGTGGAGGTGCTACTGCGGTGCGTGCGGACAGGGGAAGATCTTGAGCGTGCTTATTGAAGTGGTACGTGATCGCAGGGGATGGGAGGGGAAGTGCCTGTGGCAGTGTCTCTGGATTCTGAGAGGATGTGAGTGAGTGAATCTCAAAGCCACTCTGCTCTCCAGTGATTTCATCTCATTCGAAACTCTTCAGTCCCCTCACCCTTTCCCCCCTTTTCCCTCCCCTCCTCTCCCCTCCCACCCCATCAGTTCTCTGCCGTCGTGCGCACCAAGTTGGCTCCCCCCTCTGGCTGGCCCCAGCTGCTACCGGGCCTCAAAGCCGCTCTGCTTTCCTCGCCCTCCCTTTCCTCCCCTCCCCTTTCCTCTCCCAATTCCCACCCCATCAGTTCTCTGCCGTTGTGCGCACCGAGTTGGCTTCCCCGTCGGGCTGGCCGCAGCTGCTTCCAGGCCTCAAAGCAGCGCTGCTCTCCAGCGATCTCATCCGAGCCATCGGTTCCGCCTCCGCCGCTGCTCCTGGGCCGTCGGATCCCGCCTCTGCTGCAGCGACATTCTCTACAGTCACTGTGCTCACAGTCCTTCGTGCTGTCACGAAGCCATACAGGGTATGCCCTTCTGAGTGGGCTTGCGGCTGATCACTGTCCTTCAGTTCAGAGGTGATTATGGTTATACCACTTCTTTCCGAGTGGTCTCTCAAGTTATCAGAGATCTATTTTCGAAGCGCCTCAACTATGTTAGAATCTCTTTTGAGATATTTCACAAGGGGCTTCATTGTGGTTTCTATGAAGTCCACTTCCTTTTGTGAAGGAACAAAGGCTTGGAGGGGAGAGTAATCTCTATGGCTGATGTTCCTCGGCTTTCTCTCTGCCTCTTCTTCCTTCCACCTCTCCTCCCAATCCACGCCCTTTTCCCCCTTTGACAACACTTCCTCCAGCCGGTGCCCCCAGAGCCGATAGCCTGGTAGCAATTGATTGAAGAAATGGTTTGAGACGTCTCAAAACATTTCTTCAATCACGTGTCTCCAGTCCAGCCGGTGCCCCCAGAGCCGGTAGCCTGGTAGCAATTGACTTCTGAGGCGCCTCAAAAGACAACACTTTTCCACTCCCCCCTTCCACCACAGTACTTTCTCGACCCCACCAACGACAAGGAGCCGGTGCCGCCTGTGCTGGAAGCAACGACTACTCATGTTCTCCTCTTTCTCTCTTTATTCTTCGACTCCTCACTCCCCTCCACCACAGTACTTCCTGGACCCCACCAACGACAAGGAGCTGGTGCCGCCTGTGTTGGAAGCTCTGCTGCCACTCATGCTCCTCTCTGTGTTCAACTCCCTCCTCCCCCCACCACAGTACTTCCTGGACCCTACCAACGACAAGGAGCCGGTGCTGCCAGTGCTGGAAGCAATCGCATCGGACCTGCTGCTGCCACTCATCTTCCTCCCTGTCTCTTCGTCCTCCTCAACCTCTTTGACTATTTTTCCACTCCCCCCCACAGTACTTCCTGGATCCTACCAACGACAAGGAGCCGGTGCCGCCTGTGCTGGAAGCAATCGCATCGGACCTGCTGCTGCCGCTCATGCCACTCATGCACCACCTCATTGCGGCTCAGGTGTGTGTGTGACTGCCTGCTTGAACGGCATGGCATGGCATGACATGATAGTGTTGGAAGCCATTGCGTCGGACCTGCTGCTGCCGCTCATGCCCCTCATGCACCACCTCATTGCGGCCCAGGTGTGTGTGTGACTGCCTGCTTGAACGGCATGGCATGGCATGACATGATAGTGTTGGAAGCCATTGCGTCGGACCTGCTGCTGCCGCTCATGCCCCTCATGCACCACCTCATTGCGGCCCAGGTGTGTGTGTGACTGCCTGCTTGAACGGCATGGCATGGCATGGCATTATAGTTCTGGAAGCGACTAACGCAGACTTGCTGCTGCTGCCACTCATGTTCATGCCCCTCATGCACCACCTCATTGCGGCCCAGGTGTGTGTGTGACTGCCTGCTTGAACGGCATGGCATGGCATGGCATGGCATGGCATTATAGTTCTGGAAGCGACTAACGCAGACTTGCTGCTGCTGCCACTCATGTTCATGCCCCTCATGCACCACCTCATTGCGGCCCAGGTGTGACTGTAGGACAGGAGATGTGTGTTTTCATCATAGGACAGTGAAGTGCAGTGCAGTGCAGTGCAGTGCAGTGCAATGCATGGCATGGCATGGCATGGCATGGCATGGTACTGTGCTGCTACCACTCATTGCCGCTCAGGTGTATGTGACTGCTTGAATGGCATGGCATGGCATGGCATGGCGTGTCGATAGCATGGCAGAGCATGACATGGCATGGCATGGAATGACAAAGGATTACATGGCATGATAGTGCTGGAAGCGATTGCATTTGACCTGCTGCTCTGCTGTCCATCATGCCACGCCACTCATACACCACCTCATTGCGGCTCAGGCGTGTTTGACTGCTGGACAAGGTGATGTGTGCGATACGCATGGAGCATGGCATGGCATGGCATGGCATGGCATGGCATGGCATGGCATGGCATGGCATCACATCACATCGCATGGCATGATCATGCTCGAACCATCTGCCTCCTTCGACCTGTTGCTGTCTCATGCCTCTCCTCGAATCCATCCTCTTTGTGTCTCGCCTGCATGCCCCTCCCTCCCCTCGCCCTGTACCCACTCCACAGGCACAACAGTCAAGCCCCCGAGCACCATCTGCGCATGATGAAGCGCTGCTGCTTATTCTCAAGACTCTCCACCTCTCTGTGAGTGCATCTCTATGTGAGTGCACTTCTCTGTGAGTGCATCTCTATGTGAGTGCACTTCTCTGTGAGTGCACTTCTCTGTGAGTGCATCTCTATGTGAGTGCACTTCTCTGTGAGTGCACTTCTCTGTGAGTGCATCTCTATGTGAGTGCACTTCTCAGTGAGTGCACTTCTCTGTGAGTGCACTTCTCTGTGAGTGCGCCTCTCTGTGAGTCTAAGTGGAGAAAGATGCGTCCTGCGTCTAGGACGCTTGCGTCCAGACGCAGCGTCTTATACGCAGGACGCTAGAGGAGGGCCTTTAGGACGTATGAAAAGACGCATGCCCGGGCAGGGCAAAAAAAACCCCCGGGCAGGCGAAAAATGATGTTATAGGGTATGGGAAGGGGGAGGGGCACGACTATGCACACATTTGAGGCAAAATCGTCCCCTTCAAATTTCCAGGGTTTAGGGTTTACGAAGGAGAATTGTCTTGGTAAACCCTGTAGGGTGTTTTTGATGGTCGAAATGGGTTAGGGGGGTTCGACATGACGTGAAATTGACAGTCGCGTCTAAATCGTTAAAGTCAATTTCGCGCTGAGGCAGATTTATTTTTCCGGTCAGCCCGAAAAAAAAACGGGGTGCGTCCTGCGTCTCTGCGTCTGGACGCTGCGTCCAGACGCAGGACGCAGCAGGACGCGTGCGTCTTTCTCCACTTAGCTGTGAGTGCGCCTCTCTGTGAGTGCGCCTCTCTGTGAGTGCACATACATGCCTACCTGTCTGCCTGCATGCACCTCCATCGTTCAGTCTATGAACCCTTCAGCTGTCTCCTTGAGGCGCTTCAAATCGCCTCTGCATCTTTTAATGATGGGGTTGAGCTACCGATGGGGTTGAGCTACCGATGGGGTTGAGCTACCGTTCACTTCGCTTTGCAGCAGCTCAAACCCCAACGCTGTCCTGCAAAGTTGCAACGTTCTGTTCTTCTCTCTCGTTTGCCCATCCAACGCCGTCTAACACCCTGATTTGCCCCCTCCCCCTCAGGTTCAGAGCCACATGCCATCGGGTTTTTGAGAATTCTCTGGTTTTTGAGAATTCTCAAACCCCAATGCTGTCCTGCAAAGTTGCAATGTTCATCTCTCTCGTTAGCCCATCCAATCCAACGCTGTCTAACACCCTGGTTTGCCCCCTCCCCCACAGGTTCAGAGCCACATGCCATCAGCCATCCGCAAGCACATCGACAGTATTGTTCCAGAGCTGCTGCTGCTGCTGCTGCTGCCGCTGCTCTCATGCTGAATCTCCCCTTGCTCTTATCTTCGTGCCACAGGTTCAGAGCCACATGCCATCAGCCATCCGCAAGCACGTAGACAGCATTGTCCCAGAGCTGCTGCTGCTGCTCTCACACTGCCCGCCCACCCTCGCAGCAGCGGTAGCAGCAGCAGGGCAGGAGGAGGGGGAAGTGATGGATGGGGAAGGGGGGGCAGAGGGGGGAGGTGCAGCAGCAGTGTGGGAGGTGCGGCTGAAGGGGTGCAAGCGAGCGCTGCAGATCTGCCATGCTCTGGCCAGCCGGCACCAGAAGCTGACAAACAAGTGAGTGCCAGTGCTTGCCTCTAGTGTTACTCCGTAACTCGTGTGTCGTCACTGGCCAGTCGCCACCAGAAGCTGACCAACAAGTGAGTGGCTCTCTGCTTCCAGTGTTACTTGGTAACTCGTGTCTCGTCTCACAAATGCAAGGATTCTCATGTGGGAGGTGCGGCTGAAGGGGTGCAAGTGAGCGCTGCAGATCAGCCATGCTCTGGCCAGCTGCCACCAGAAGCTGACCAACAAGTGAGTGACTTGGTTTCCAGTGTTAGCTTGTATCTCAAGCGGTCATTGCATTGATATGGATACGTCAAAGGAACCATCAGAGATAATGGGTGGCTGAGCTAGTGGTGTTTTAGAGGGCTAACATGCAAGCAATGGTAATCCACAGATGCAAATGGGATGCAAGTGGGTGCTGCAGGCCTGCCATGCTCTGGCTGGCCGACACCCCCTGAAGCTGCTGATGAACGAGTGAGTGAGTAACGCCTTTTGAGTCGACTCAAATATCAGCAGGCCTGCCATGCTCTGGCTGGCCAGCCGACACCAGAAGCTGCTGATGAACGAGTGAGTGAGTAACGCCTTGCTCGCACTGGTGAAAGGCAAGCATGCTTGAATTAAGTGCCTCTTTAAATGAAAGTATGTTCACATTCACATGCACCTCAGTAATGTTCTCTGCTTGGTTCCCTTCTGCAGGTCACTCTTTCCTCCCCTCCCCACTACCGCACCTCCTCGGCTCTTTGGACCCCCTTCTGTTTTTTGAGAATTCTCAATTTTTTTTTTTTAGAATTCTAAAAATAACAGACCCTGCTCCATTCCCTCTCCATCTTCCCGTCCCTTTCCTTTTCCCCTCCCGTTGCCTGTCCCACCCACCGTGTGCGCCTTCCAGGCACTTTCCTGCCATGGTGGACGGCATCACAGGCATCGTCTGCAACTCACTGTGGACCAATAAGGTGCAGACACGTGGCAGGGGCTTCCTTTCTGTGCCACATGGGGCTGGTTGCTGTTGCTGCTACCCACTCTAGTGTGTTGTTGCTGATCTGTTGATGGTCCAATCTAACACAACTGCTTCACCTTGATTGTCAGTTATTCCCTACCCCTTCTCCCCCCCTTGATTAACCCGCCCCTCGTTTAACCCCAACCTCTTCTCCCCACCCGCCCTTTCCCTGCCCCCCCCCCCCCCCTTCCTCCTTCCTCCACCTTCTTCTCCCCCCGTCATCCACTCCTCCTTTCCCCCTCCGTCTCCTCCGCCACCCTGTTCATCCCTCTCCCTCCCGCCAGCTCCCATTAGCAGCGCGTCGTGTGATCGCAGTGGCGTTCACCGCCATCTCTCAAGTGCTCGACTCCGCTCCGGTGAGTCCTTCAAAGGCAGGCACCGCAAAGCTTTTGAGGTGAGTCGAAACCCCTCGTGTTATTGCAGTGGCGTTCACGCTCTGCCGGTTCTCAAGTGCTCGACTCCGCTCCAGTCAGTGTTTTCCTTGCCTTGCTTGCATGCCCAATTTGGATTGAATTTTGGGTATTCTTAAAAGTGTTTTGCCCATGCATGGGGGGAAAATTAGTGCTCAAGCATGTTTGCTTTATTGCCTTGTAGCAGGAGTTTGCATTCACTGCCATCTACTGCCATCACTGTCACGAAACATATTGGTAACTTGCAGCATATTTCGTTCAGAGCTATGTGGGGTGTAGGTGGTGTACAAGTTGGTATGCAGGGTATTGGAGTGGTAGTTGAAGACTTGGGGAATCACGCGAAGTTGGTGACTCAGAAGATTGCGAAGCGCATGTTGGGAGAATTCGAGGCCTAGGGAGACAGGAAATCGGCGAGGGCCAACCAGAGCCCAGGCGACGCCAGTGCAAGCCCATCCCCGGAATAATTCGCGACAGGGAAAGAGAGTACTAGTAGTCTAGCCTAGCAGAGTCAACCTTGTTCTCTCGTTTGTCTACCTGTTATAGTGGATACAAGTTGCCGTTCTAAGCTACTGCTGCTAGGTGACAAGGCCACACGGGGTAGCCATTGTGGAGGAGGCAGGACTTCTCACAAACGAGAGAAGAAGCCGGCGACATGGATCGCCATGAGCTGCGCATGCAGCGAACGTATTCGCGGCAGGAACGTTCTCCGTCGCGGGGAAGGTGCTCAAGGGAGCGAGGGAGGTCGCCGACGCGCTCGCCAAGGAGGGCGGCGTATCGCGCAGATCTGGTGACGCCAGTGGGCGTGCGCGCTGGAGGACGCGGAGCGGATCTGCACGTCAGATCGGAGCCCGGGAGGCGGCCCGCGACCAGCGATCCGTGGGATCTGGCAGGATGCCGGCGCGGAATGGATGGAAGGCGTCGCGACGACGACGTGGAGATGGACTCGGCGAGCGATGATGATAGGGAGGAAGAAATTGAAGAATCCCCCGTCGCGCGGGCCAGCGGCAATCGAAAAGAGACTGAAGGCGAAGAATCCCCCACTGCGCGGGGAGGCGGAACGCGCGACGGTGACGGAAGCGAATCCCCTACTGCGCGGGGAGGCGGAACGTACGACGGTGACGTAGGCGAAGAATCCCCCACTGCGCGGGGAGGCGGAAGGCGCGGCGGCGCCGAAGGCGAGGGACCCCCCACTGCGCGGGGAGGCGGAACTCGCGACGGCGCCGAAGGCGAGGGACCCCCCACTGCGCGGGGAGGCGGAACGCGCGACGACGCCGAAGACGAGGGACCCCCCACTGCGCGGGGAGGCGGAACTCGTGACGACGCCGAAGGCGAGGGACCCCCCACTGCGCGGGGAGGCGGAACGCGCGACGACGTCGAAGGCGAGGGACCCCCCACTGTGCGGAAAGGCGGAACGCGCGATGGCTCCAAAGACGAGGGACCCCCCACTGCGCGGGGCAGCGGGAGGCGCAACGACGCCAAAGACGAAGCGTTCCCAACGACGCGGAGGAAGGACGAGCGTACGCCTGCAGGGCAGTATGAACATGAGTTGAAGCACGACAGGAGTGGGAGAGGCGAACGTCAGATCAGAGAGCCTCTAGGAAGAGATAAGAGTCGTCATGCGCCCACTGGAGCATTCCGCTCGCCCGAGCCGAGGGAGAAGTATGAGCGCAGGCGGCGCATGGCGAGGGGTGACTGGCGAGGCTTGGGGCTGCCGAGGGAGGGAGAGCGTAGCGATGGTGAAGAAGAGGGGCGGGACTCTACGCGGAAGGGAAGAGAGCACAAAGAGGGGTACCGCAAGGAGGATAGGCGAGGATCACTACATGCGGCGGGGGCAGAAGAGAGGGAGCGAGAAGACCAGCAGCGGCAGGACAAGGTAGAGCGAGATAGGCGAGGTCAGGAATTCTCGCCTGAGAAGAAGGAGAGGAGGAGGGGGGAAGAAGGCAAGTGGAAGGAGGCATGGGAGGGGGAGCCGAGAGGGAGTCCGAATCCAAGGAGCTCAAGGAGGCCATGGCAGACAGGAGAGGGATCCAGTGGGGCTAGAGCCGCAAGGGAGGGAATAGAGAGGGTGTTGTACGGAGCTAGCGCAGGCAGCGGAGGAATGAGGGAGCGCAGAAGAGAAGGTAGCCATATGGAGCGTGGAGTGACAGGGACCTGGGACATAGGGAGATGGGGCACGCAGGCGCCGCCTAGGGTGGAGGTGCCAGTGCGCTTCACGGGAAATGAAGGGACGGGCACTAACCTGAAGAATTATCTGATGCAGATTGGGAATGTCAAGTATCGGTGTGATCGTGGGGGGATGGACCCCATCGACTTCTTCCTCAGTCTGCCCAACACATTGGGAGGGGAAGCAGAGACTTTGTATCGCATGAAAATGCAAGAGTGGCTGAGAAGGGCGGAGGAAGATGGAGATGACCCGACAGCCTTGTTTCTGGCGCGGCTACGCAAACAGTTTCCCGGGCATACAGCGGACCGGATCAGGGAGTTTCAAGACTTCAGACGCAAGAAAGACGAGTCATTGTTAACATACTATGGGCGACTCATGAACCTGGCCGAAGATGTGGTGTGCACGGACACCAGTATGCTGATCAGCAAGTTCCTGGCGGGGCTGGATGATGGGTTAGCAGGAGGGCTGAGGATGAGGGTCTACGAGTTAGGGGTGGAGGCAACGCTGGAAGAAGTATTTGAGCTGGCAGAAAAGGTGGAGCTGGCACAGAGGCGCTATGAGGCATACCTGCCCAAAGCAGTAGAGAAGAAACGACCCACCTGGGCAGCCGCGATGATACCAGGGGCAGGAAGCGGAGAGGAGCAGCGGCAGGAGAGGAGGACAGATACTAGGACGTGCTACAGGTGTGGACAGCCAGGGCACGTGAAGATGAACTGCAAGAACTGTGACACATGTGGCAAACCAGGCCACCGCCGGCGGGAGTGCCCTGATGCGCCTATCTGTGAAGTGTGCGGAAAAAGGGGGCATCAGCAGAAAGACTGCTATCAGAAGACGGGTGGACCGAGAAGGTCACAAGAGGACATAGCAAACCAGATCGAGAAGCTGCAAGCGCGGTTGCAGGCGATGGGAGGCAAGAAGGAGAAGGAAGCGGGCTTGTATGCAAGAGAGGAGGAAGAGGAGGAAAGGGAGGAAGAAGAACGGTTGCCAGAACACACCTTTTTAGCAATGCGCTGCCGAGAAGAGATGGGTCTGAGGAGCGGGGGCAAAGACGGGAGGAAGGAACACATAGTGAAGGAACGAGGAAGACCGAAACAGAAAACGGAAGAAGAGAGTAAAGAGGATGAGGAGTCAGCCAGGCATCCCAAGGACCGACTAGCCAGCCAGGCAACGGTACTGGTGGCAGAAGCAGGGACAGTGACTGTGGGAGGGGAGATAGCAAAGACTGCGATCCTAGATACAGGGGCACAGAGCGTGATGCTGGGGAAGCGGCTAGCACAGAAGCTGGGACTGACCGGACAAGGGCAGCACATAAAGCGGGGGATGCTGGTTATGACTGCGGAGGGAGGCGAACCTAAGTGGTTGCCGTGCACAAAGACTCCAGTGGAGGTGGTGCTAATGCCGGGAAGGGACGAGCAAGGGCAATCACGGACGGAAGGAAAAGGGATAAGAGGAGGATGGGGTGAGAGCAGAGTAGGTAATCACACAGTGATGGTAAGGATAAGGGAGTAGTCCGACATCACTGATTTTGCCACTTGAGAGATGGCAGTGTTTGCATTTACTGGGGGCAAAATCTAATCTATTGCCTTGTAGCAGGGGTTTGCATTGCACTCACTGCCATCTCTCTCAAGTGCTTCACTCTGCCTGCCCCTGTCAGTGCCGACTTGCTTGCACGAGCATGTGAGGACGACTTGAACTGAAGTAGCTCAGTGACTAATGCCGCACTGCACCGCACTGCACTGGTGTTCTTGTGCACCCGAGTCATCTCCTCATGCCCTCATCTCCTCCCTGCGCCCTCGTCCCCCCACGCACGCTCCATGCCCCCCATGCTTGCATGGCTGGAAGGCGGTGGCTCCCTAATTCGCCCATCTGCCAGAGGCCAACTGGAGAGCCAACGCCTCAGTCTGATAGGGTTCACTCTAATAAGACTTTATTCCACTTCCACCCCATACCCCTTTCCCCACGCTCCATGCCCTTATGCCTGCAGGGCTGAAAGGCGGTGGCTCCCTAATTCGCCCATCTTCCAGAGGCCAACTGGAGAGCCAACGCCTCAGTCTGATAGGGTTCACTCTAATAAGACTTTATTCCACTTCCACCCCATACCCCTTTCCCCACGCTCCATGCCCTTATGCCTGCAGGGCTGAAAGGCGGTGGCTCCCTAATTCGCCCATCTGCCAGAGGCCAACTGGAGAGCCAACGCCTCAGTCTGATAGGGTTCACTCTAATAAGACTTTATTCCACTTCCACCCCATACCCCTTTCCCCACGCTCCATGCCCTTATGCCTGCAGGGCTGAAAGGCGGTGGCTCCCTAATTCGCCCATCTGGCAGAGGCCAACTGGAGAGCCAACGCCTCAGTCTGATAGGGTTCACTCTAATAAGACTTTATTCCACTTCCACCCCATACCCCTTTCCCCCACGCTCCATGCCCTTATGCCTGCAGGGCTGAAAGGCGGTGGCTCCCTAATTCGCCCATCTGGCAGAGGCCAACTGGACTGGAGAGGCAACGCCTCAGTCTGATAGGGTTCACTCTTCTGGAAGCTTTTGAGTCGACTCAAAAGCAGAGGCCAACTGGAGAGGCAACGCCTCAGTCTCATAGGGTTCACTCTTCTGGAAACTCATTCCACTGCCGCTCCCCCGCCCGTGCCGTGCCCCACTCCCTCCCCAATCTTGCCCCATGCCTGCAGGGCTGGAAGGTGGTGGCTCCCCAATTCGCATTCGCCCACCTGCTAGAGGCCGCCATCTTCCCCAAACAGCAACCCCCCTGCTGAATCCCCCCAATTCCCCCATCCATGCTCCCACCACGCCCCCCATGTCTATGTGCCCACAGGGCTGGAAGGTGGTGGCTCCGCAGTTCGCCCACCTGCTAGAGGCCGCCATCTTCCCCGCTCTCTGCCTGCACCCCCAGGTGAGCACCCCTCTCCCGCTCCCCCCCTTTCCCCCCTTTTCTCCGCACCCTCCCCACCTCCCCTCCCCCACCCCCCCCTGATTCTCTTTCTCTTTTTTTATTAACGCTTACTGCTTGCACCCCCACATGAGTGCGCCTCCTTGTTATCGCGGTGAAGGCACGTCGATTGAACTGTATCTGTGCACTCAACAATTCCACTCGCACATGTATTGAATAAACTTCTTATTCCTTGCATGTTGCATTGCATTCGCGTGAAGTGATACAAGTGGTGAGGGGCCTCAAAGGTTTCTCCATAGTCTCAATCAAATTACTGCCTTGCCTGCCTGACTGTTTCATCTGGGGGGGTCCCTCTCCAACTTGCTTTCATCAGTCTTTGCTCGTTCTGGTCAACGACACTAAGATTATGGGGCGCCCTTTCTGTGCTTCTTTTTGGGCGGCAGGATTTGGAACTCTGGGAAGAGGACGAGGAGGAGTACGTGCGACGGAACCTACCCACGGATCTAGTGAGTGGCGGCTGTTGGTGTTTTCCCAATTTTAATTTTATTTCTAGTTACTGCTCTCGTGTATTTTTCACGCGCTGAGAAAATCGGTGATTATTGTACCTTGAATATGATTAGGTTGAGATCAAGAGCTATGATCATCCAGGGCAGCCTTTTCTTTGGAGCATCTCAGAAACCGACACTTCTCTTTCTTCCCCCTCTACACGTTTTTCTGTGTTTCTGTTGCCAGGGTGGCATTGATGAGATAGAGAGTTTTGTGTTAGTGTTAGCCCTCAATCTCACACTTTGTACTTTATATTTTCTATATCCTAGAGTAGTGTAGTTTGCACTTTGTGTTTGGTTGGGTGTACACCTACATCCCAACCAAACCCAAATGTAATCTCCAAGCAATCTCCAACCCACCAATTGGAGATTGCCTTGGGATTACCCCCAATTCCTAGGGATTGCCCCCGATTCTCTTCCCCATCCATTCCCTACCCTTCTTGGATGTACTTAAAGAGCTTCAAGTTCATTACTAATGTATCAGTTCTAAGCCTAAGTTGTAACAGTTTGACCTACGATGGGCTGGAGAAGGGGTTTGCTAGTATTCTTGAGGCGCCTCAGAATCTGACACACCTCTCATTCCCCCCTACCTCATGGTTGACCTTTTCTTGTGGCCAGGATGACATGGATGAGATCGAAAGCTATGACCCACAGCAGTGTGCTGTTGAGGCGCCTCAGAAAGTGGCATCTTTCCTTCTCTCTCCCTGTTCTTTACCATTCTGTTCTGTGGCCAGGATGACATGGATGAGATGGAGAGCTATGACCCGCGGCAGTGTGCTGCTCACCTGCTGGCGCTCATCGCCACGTCCAAGGTAATGTGTGGGTGCTGTTGGGTGTACCGTCACCAAGCTTCTGATAAATACATGTACACGTACATGCATCCGTCATGCATCATACATGACCTGCTGCAGTGTGCTGCTCACCTGCTGGCGCTCATTGCCACGTCCAAGGTAATGTGTGGGTGCTGTTAGGTGTACCATCGCCAAGCGCCTGATAAATACATGTACACGTACATGCATCCGTCATGCATCATACATGACCTGCTGCAGTGTGTTGCTCACCTGCTGGCGCTCTTTGCCTCGTCCATGGTAGTGTATGGTGTGGTATGGTATGGTGTGGTGTGGTGTACCATCACCATGGTGCTGATACATGCATGGAAGCATCCTTCCATCCATCCATCCGTGCCTGCATGCCTACACTATACATACATGCAACATGCATGCATACACACATTCATGCATGCATACATGCATGCGTGCACACATATGTACACATCATATGAGCATGCACACGCATGCTAAACCTCCCACATGCGCACACCTCTTCTTACCAACACACTCCTTCCTATGTGTCAAGCCTTCCTAGTTCCTCGTTCGGTTCTCCTGGCTCCTTGCTTTCAACTGCTCAAGCAGAAGGCAGGGCGAGACAGCGACGCCCCTCTTCAAAATCAACTCTCCCCACACTCGCTCATCCCGTTTGCCTCTCCTCCTGTGCATGGTAAGCAGGGAAGCCCAGCCCAGCCAAGGGTAAGCCGGGCGCAGCAGCAGCAACAACAGCAGCAGCAACAACAGCAGCAGCAACAACAGCAGCAGCTGGCAGGACGAGTCATAGACGGCCCTCCGCAAACTCGACTCGCCCCACACTTGCTCGTTCTTCCTCTGTGTGATTGTTTCATCCGTGTCGCTCGCTCCTCTCCCACATGCACAACACAGGGAAGCCCCGCCAAGGGTAAGCCGGGCGCAGCAGGAGCAGCAGCAGGTGGAGACGAGACCGTCCACGCTTACTCTTCAGACTCAACTCCCCCCACACTCACCCATCCCCTCTGACAAAGCAGGGAAGCCCCGCCAAGGGTAAGCCGGGCGCAGCAGGAGCAGCAGCTGGCAAATCCACGTCGCCAGCAGCGGGCAGAAGGAGACAACGAAGGCCGGCCGCTACCAAGGACACTGACGCAGCAGCAGCTACAGTGGTGCTTCCGTTCCTCTCCAGGTGCGTGCGTAAATGTGTGTACGTATGCTTTTTTGAGTCGACTCAAAAGTCCTCTCCTGGTGTGTGGGAGCGAGCGTGCGTGCATGTGTGGTATGTATGCATTTATGGTTTCTCTGTTGCATTCCAACATGCTGAAACAAAGTGAAGGAGGAGAATAGGAGTGGCACTGTTATTTTTCTGTCTCCTACTCTAATCCTGTTTGATCTACCCTCTCCTGCATCCACTCAGGTGCTCTTTGTCCTGCCCTCTCCTTTCCAGGTTCCCTCTTTCTCGCTGATGTTGCCATGTGCCAGTGGAGTGGACGGGAAGGCATGGCATAGTTGTGGCAAATTCGAGGGGAATTCAAGCGCCTATGAAGATGTTATCATGATAAATAAAACAACACCATAAAGCTCCCTTTTCTGCCGTCTCCAGGTTCCCTTTCCCAGCAGATGCTGCTGTGCCAATGAATGGCATGTTTGTCGCGGGAGCAGGGGTGGGGCAGGCTCCTGTCGTGCAAATGCTGCCACTTCTGCTTCTGATGTGCCTTGAAAACGTGCTCCCTGCCCTGCCCTGCCGTGCCCCGTCCTCTCCAGGTTCCCTCTCCCAGCTGATGCTGCCGTGCCAATGGAAGGCATGTTTGTGGCGGGGGCAGGGGGAGGCCAGGCTCCTGCCAACCCTGCCAGTGCTGCTGTTGTCCAGTGAGGCTCGATTCCCTTTCCTTTCTTTGCTCCCTGCTCCCTCCCTCCCGGCTTCCCTCCCTCCCTCCCGGCTTCCCTCCCTCCCTCCCGGCTTCCCTCCCTCCCGGCTTCCCTCCCTCCCGGCTTCCCTCCCTCCCTCCCTCCCTCCCCCTCCCTCCCTCCCTCTCTCCCTCCCTCCCTCCCTCCCTCCCTCTCCCTCCCTCCCTCCCTCCCTCCCTCCCTCCCTCCCTCCCTCCCTCCCTCCCTCCCTCCCTCCCTCCCTCCCTCCCTCCCTCCCTCCCTCCTCCCATCTCCTTCTCTCCCGCCTTTCCTCCTCTCATCAACTAGTCTGCTGCCCGAAATTCTGCTAGTGCAGCTGCTATTTCCGTTTTCTGCTGTTTTCTATGGCCCCCTCTTTCCCTCCTCCTTCCTCCTCTCCCCCCCCACACTTCCCACCGCCTCTCTCTTTGCTGCTTGTCATTCCCTCCGTTTGCCCCAATATTTTCACCCCATCCCATCACCCATCGCCCATCACCCATCGCCCATCACCCATCACCCATCACCCATCACCCGCGCATCGCAGCTACTTCGGCGTTCTGCAAGCCTATGCAGCCATGAAAGAGGTACACACACACACACACACACACACACACACACACACACACACACACACACACACACACACACACACACACACTTACGTGGGTACAAGCTTACGGGGTAGCTAGCAATTGCGTTCGTCGTAAAAGATGGGTTCCATGTCAAGAGTCGACCTAAAAGATGGGTTCCATGTCAAGAGTCGACCTAAAAGATGGGTTCCATGTCAAGAGTCGACCTAAAAGATGGGTTCCATGTTTTAGGCAGCCCAAAGGTAGGCAGCCCAAAGATAGACTATGCGACCATTCACGAAAGATGGGTTCCATGAAAGATGGGTTTCATGAAAGATGGGTTCCATGAAAAATGGGTTCCATGAAAAATGGGTTCCATGAAAGATGGGTTCCATGGTACACATGCACATACATGGGTAGGAGAGAGTGCGTTCCTTGGCATATAAGCTGGCTTCCTATCATTCCATTCACTCACACTCACAATCACCATCAGCACAGTACCCTCAATCCCCTCGAATGCCCTCATCCTGAACCCCTCTTGTCCCTCTGCGAATTGCACACAAACTAATCCGACCCCAACGGCCTTTGGCGCACTTGGAGTGGAAGAAGCGCTGCCAGCTTAGTTCTTGAGGATCGCCACAAGGTGACTTTTGAGTCGACTCAAAAGTCACTTGGAGTGGAAGAAGCGCTGCCAGCTTAGTTCATTAGGATCGCCACAACTGGCAGCCTGGCAGTGACAGTGATGCTTTCTTCAACAAAGAAAAACCTGCTCCCTCTCACCCTCACGTATCTCCACTTCGCCCCCTTCCCCTCCCCTTCCTCCTCTTGCTCTGCATCCTATCTTGCTCTGCTGTTCCCGCCCTTCCACCCCCACAGTACTTAGAGCGCCAGCCGGCCCACCTGGAACAGCTGCTGCCTACCCCTCTGCGTCCTTCCTCTGCTTCCTATCTGCCCACCCACACCCTCCCTCTCCCCCCACTCCCCCTTCCCTTTTACACCCCCCCAGTACTTTGAGCGCCAGCCAGCCCACCTGGAGCAGCTGCTGCCAGCTCACGTGCTGCCCCTCTTCTCGCAGCGCCACGTCAGCGCGGTCCTGTTGGCCTCTGCCACGTGGCTGCTGGGAGAGCTCTCCACCGCCCTGCCCGAGGTGACCAGCAACTGACAGCTGTGCAGTGTGCACTTTTGAAAATCTCTCAAAGGCAACTCGAACACTTTTCACTGTGCACTGTGTGCTGTGCACTGTGTGCAGTGATAGACGTAGACTAGCTCCCCATTGCCTCCAGTCTGCTTCTTATGTGAGGCCACTGTGAATGGCGCTGTTGATCAACCAGCTGATTAATAGGACATGTGAGGCGCCTCAGAAAGCAAAGCAGTCTAGCCAGCCATCATGCTGACAGCCTTTTCCAGTGTAATGGAGCTGTTGGTTGGGCCTGTTGTTGTGCAAAAAATTTTAGGCGCCCCAAAAGTCGACCTTTCTTTAGGCGCCTCAAACATCGTCTTTTGAGGCGCCTAAAAAAAAAAAAGGTGCTTGCTGCTGGCAGATTCGTGTGCAACCATTTCATGTGTGATGGAGCTGACTTTTGAGTCGACTCAAAACTCAAGAAGTCAAATTCTGAGTCGACTCAAAAGTCATGTGTGATGGAGCTGTTCCCTGCAACTACTATACAGCTGGCCGCCTCCGTGTGATGAGGCGATTTTTTATTCGACTCAAAAACTGGCCTCCTCCAAAATGCACAACCCTGTGTACGAGGCGAGCATGAAGGCCATGGCAGCAGGGGACGTGGACGTGGGTGCGTGAGCTCACACACTTTTCGCCTTCCAATTCCACCTCCAACCCTATTTCTCCCCCAATCTGTCGCCCCATCAGTCCCTACACAACAATGTGTACGAGGCGAGCATGAAGGCCATGGCAGCAGGGGACGTGGATGGGCAGTCCTGGGCGGCTGTGCGCACTGCTGCGTCGCACTGCATCTCTTACCTCATCCAGGTGTGCTCTTGGTGCTCTTAGTGCTCTTTGTTCACTGCACGTGGCACATGCGGCCGCACACATGGGCGGCTGTGCGCACTGCATCTCCTACCTCATCCAGGTGTGCTCTTGTTGCACTGGATGCACGTGGTGCACTGGATGCACGTGGTACAGTGGATGCACGTGGTACAGTGGATGCACGTGGTACAGTGGATGCACGTGGTGCACTGGATGCACGTGGTATAGTGGATGCACGTGGTACAGTGGATGCAAGTTTGATCTTCTCTCTACTTGTGCTTACCAAACCTTTTGAGGCGCATCGAATGAGCCGACTAAAAAACAGCGTCAAATGACCTCTGTACATCCATGGTAACATATATCACATCACATCAAACCACATCTCGCATCCCTTTTCCATTCCTCCACCCACTCCCTATCCAGAATGAAGTGGAGCCATCTGATTGGCTGGCGTTTCTGCAAGCAGTGGTGGCAGCAACAAGAGCGGGGGAGGAGAGGGAGGCGGTGAGGGCGCTAGACCTGCTGGAGTCTGTGGCAGTGGAAGGGGGCGAGGGGGTGCACGCCCACCTGCCCGCCATCATTGCTGCTGTTGCAAATGACACCTGCGCAGCTCTGCCTCCCCCGGATCAGCCCTGGTCGCAGGTATGCCTTCTGTTGCACTGCATGTTCCAGCACTAGGTGTAGAGTGGGAAAACCCAGTATCAGTGAGGGCGCTAGACCTGCTGGAGTCAGTGGCAGTGGAAGGCTGCGAGGGCGTGCACGCCCACCTGCCCGCCATCATATCCGCTGTTGCAGATGACACCTGTGCAGCTCTGCCTCCCCCGGATCAGCCCTGGTCGCAGGTATGGGCTGTGCTGCTTGCACACGTATGAATACCCGCGTCCCCCAACGGTGCGCGTACATTGGGTGGGTGAGTCCAATATTAGTAGCTGAGCGGGTTCTCGCTGTATGAAAACCCTGCCCTCCCGCTGTATTAGTGCTGTATGAACATAAGATCATCCAACACAAGGGCGGAGGAGGAGAGAGGCACAGTGAGGGAGGAGAGAGGCGCAGTGGGGGAGGAGAGAGGCACAGTGGGGGAGGAGAGAGGCGCAGTGGGGGAGGAGAGAGGCACAGTGAGGGCGGAGACGGCGTGCACGCCCACCTCCCCACAATCATCGCTGCTGTTGCAGCTGTTGACTTTTGAGTCGACTCAAAATTCTCCCCGCAATCATCGCTGCTGTTGCAGCTGACGCCTGCGCAGCTCTTCCTCCCCCAGACCAGCCCTGCCTGGTCTTAGGTGGGGGTTCTGTTGGTGGAATGTGTGTGGGGCCAGGCCAGCCAGGCATAGGTATGGAGGCAGCAGCTGTTAGGATTTTCGCACCTGCATGCTGCTGTAGCATTGGGTGAGCCCAATACCGGTTCACAAGGGAAAGATTACAGGTGCACTTCAAAGGTTCTTGTTTTGACATGTCTTCGGAGCAATTTCCCCTCATGGCACCGTGTGTGGGCTGGGCGCTCTTCTCTGCGCTCGCCCCTCTGGTCGAGTCGTGGGCTGATGACGAGCTGCCAGGGGGGTTGTGCTTGTCATTGCTCCTTCCTTCTTTACCCGCCCTCCCTTCTCATGGCACCGTGTGTGGGCTGGGCGCTCTTCTCTGCGCTCGCCTCTCTGATCAAGTGATGGGCCAATGACGAGCTGCCAGGGGGGAACAGCTGTCCTTTGACTGATCCCCCCTCCCTTTCCGCTCCTCCATCCCTCGTCCCCCCTCCCTTTCCGCTCCTCCATTCCTCGTCCCCCCTCCCTTTCCGCTCCTCCATTCCTCGTCCCCCTCCTCATGCCAGCGTGTGTGGGCGCTCTTCTCTGCGCTTGCCTCTCTTGCGAGTCATGGGCCGACGATGACCTGCCAGGCTCCAGGGGGGAAACGGATGTCTGTTGTTGACTGATCCGCCCTCCTTTCCCCACCCTCTCTCCCCAACAGCGTGTGTGGGCGCTCTTCTCTGCGCTCGCCTCTCTCGTCGAGTCATGGGCCGACGATGACCCGCCAGAGAAAGAGTGCTCGTTCATTCTATCCACCTTCCCTTTCCTCCTTTCCACCCCACCCTCTCCCAGCGTGTGTGGGCGCTCTTCTCTGCACTCGCCTCGCTGGTCGAGTCATGGGCTGATGATGACCTGCCAGGGGACGATGACGAGGAGGAGGAAGGGGAGGAGAGGGATGGGAAGGAGGCAGCAGGGGCGGAGGAGAGGAGTCGCCGGGCAGTGGAGGTGGCTGCGTCTGTGGCTCGCGTGCTGCGAGTGGCCTGGCTGAACGAACCTGTGAGTTATTAACTCGCCCTCTTGCCCTCTTGCAGTGCAGCCCAGAGCACCACCCTTCGCTTCCCTGTTGACTTTTGAGTCGACTCAAAAGTCAACGCAGCCCAGAGCACCACCCTTCGCTTTTTGAGTCGACTCAAAAGTCAACGCAGCCCAGAGCACCACCCTTTGCTTCCCTGTTCTTTCTTTCTCTTAGGAGGTGGTAGGTGTGTGGCCCGCGTGTGTGCTGCGAGTGGCCTGCCTGCCTGCCTGGCTGAATGAACCCGTGAATTCTTTCTGAGTCAACTCGAACTTCTGAGTCAAACGCATCTGTGGCTTTGAGTGCCCCAAGTGGCGCCAGGAGGACAAGGAGCCGACCCCCCTGTGGCTTGAGTGCCCCAAGGAAACGGCGTCCCTTTCCTTCTCTTCTTAGTCGACTCAAAAATCGACCCCCCTTTGCTGCTCTCCTTCGTCCTCCAAACCCCCCCGAATCCCTGTGCTCTCCGCCCCCCCACCCCCACTTCCCCCCCCACCACCAATTCCTTTCCCCGCCCTTCTCTCCCCCACCTCTTGTCAGGTGGATCCATCCATAGTGAAGCCACAAGTGTCAATTCAGGAGGGCGAGAAGGACGACAAGGAGCCGCCCCCCACCTCGTGGATCGACGCCTCTCTGCTGCTCTCCTTCGTCCTCAAAACCTCCCTGGTCCCTGTACTCTACGATCCCCCTCTCACCCTCCCTCCACCCCCACCCGCCTTTCTTCGTCAGGTGGATCCGTCCCTCGTGAAGCCACAGCCAGCAGCCGGCCTAGAGGGCGAGGAGGACAAGGAGCCGCCCCCCACCTTGTGGTTCGACGCCCCTCTTCTGCTCCCCTTCGTCCTTACAGCCTCCCTGGTCCCTATGCCCTCCGCCCCCCCTCTCTTCACTCACCCCCCCCCCCCCCCCCCACCTCTTCAGGTGGACCCATCTCTCGTGAAGCCACAGGCAGCAGCCACTCTAGAAGGCGAGGAGGACAAGGAGCCGCCCCCCACGTCATGGTTCGATGCCTCTCTGCTGCTCTCCTTCGTCCTCAAAGCCGCTGCCAACGCCCCAGCTTCACCTTCCTCCACCTCTGCTGCTACAGGCGGGGATGCAGCAGCGCTGGTGGCGCAGTGGGGGGTGGTGCCGTTGCTGCACAAGTGGGTGGAGCTGGTGGCGGAGTGGACGGCATGGGAGGAGGATGAGGACGAGGCGGTGTTTCAGACCATCGACTCCTTGTTGCTGCTGCAGGTGAGCACTTCTGTAGGTGGTGCTGCTGCTGCAGGTGAGTGAGTGCATGGGAGGTGAGTGTGTTGAGAGCTGGTGACGCAGTGGGGGGTGGTGGCGTTGCTGCACAAGTGGGTGGAGCTGATAGTAGAGTGGAGGGCATGGGAGGAAGATGCTATTTTGAGTCGACTCAAAATTACTTTTGAGTCGACTCAAAAGTCAACTCGGCATGGGAGGAAGCTGCTATTCTCTGCTATCCCCTCACCCTGCGTACCCTGCCCCCTCACCTGCACATGCTGTCTCCTTTTCGCCGTCCCTATCCTGGGTACACAGACCCAATTCTCTACGACATGGGACGAGTTTTGAGCCCACTCCAGTACCGGATTTCACATCCATTGCCTTTCCGCTGCCTCCCCTGCCACGGAGCCCCCTCACCTCCTGTCGATGCCGTCCAGGGGAGGACGCCACACTTGAATGGATTTCCCTCACACTCCCAACCCAATTGCCTTCCAGGGGAGGACGCCAGTACCGGATTTCATATCCAGAGCCACTCCACCGCCTCCCCTGCCGCCCGTGCCGGCACGCTCCATCCTCGAAGGCGTCGCGTGCTTCGTCTCATCCGCGCTATCTGACGGCTCTCCTGCTGCCACGTGGCGAGCATCCAGGCACTCGCACACGCTCCTAAACGCTGCTGCTGTGGCGCTCAACGGAGGGCCTGCTGCCGCTGCTCTGGCTGCTCGGTTTGCCGAGGTGAGGCAACGGGAAATGGAAGGGGTGGGAAAGTGGGTTTCTGAGGTGTGTCATGTCAACACACACTGCTGAACGCTGCTGCCATGACGCTCAAAGGGGGGGGGGGCCTGCTGCCGCTGTTCTGGCTGCGCGGTTTGCCGAGGTGAGGCAACGGGAAAGAGCGGGGGGCTGAGGGGGAAGGAGGGGGGGATGGGAGGAGGAAAGGAAGTCGAAATGTCTCGAAACGCGCTGCTGAACGCTGCTGCTGTGGCTCTCAACAGAGGGCTTGCTGCTACTGCTGCTGCTGCTGCTCTGGCTGGGGGGTTTGCCGAGGTGAGGCAAAGGAAGGGGTGGGGAAGTGGGCGTGGAAGAGATGTGGTAGAACGCGCTGCTGAACATTGCTGCTGTGCCACTCCATGGGGCCCCTGCTGCTGCTGCTGCCCTGGCTGGACGGTTTGCCGAGGTGAGGCATTGAGGAAGGGACAGGGAATGGGGGAGGAGGGCGGCGGGGGGGGTTGAGTAGGGACACGCTTTGGTTGCTCCGAGAGGATGGGATGGGAGAGGGTAGGGGGGCGCTGTGGCTGCCTGCTCTGAGTGGGTGGGTGTGGTGGGGGGGAGGGGGGCTGTGGTGTCTCTGAGTGGGTGGGTGTGGTGGGGGGGAGGGGGGCTGTGGTGTCTCTGAGTGGGTGGGTGTGGTGTCCACATGTTTCGCAAGCAACCATTTGTTCCACCTTTCCCCCCTTTTCCCCCATTCTCACCCCCTTCTCTCAGGCCTCTCTCACTCGCCTCTCCACCGCCCCCTCCCTCTCCTCCATCCGCTACATCACCAAGCCTCTGCTCCTCGCCCTCTTCTCCTCCCTCCTCTCCCTCTTGCCCCTGTCCACGTGTCTCTCAACTAACCATTTGTTCCGCCTTTCCCCCTTTCACCCTTTCCCAACCCCCTCCCTCAGGCCTCTCTCACTCGCCTCGCCTCCACGCCCTCCCTCTCCTCCATTCCTTACATCACCAAGCCTCTGCTCCTCCCCCTCTTGCCCCTGCCCCACGTCCACATGTTGTGCAATTTACAAAACTCCCCCTCATTTTCCCCCTTTCTCAACCCCCTTCCAGGCCTCTCTCACTCGCCTCTCCACCGCCCCCTCCCTCTCCTCCATCCGTTACATCACCAAGCCTCTTCTCCTCGCCCTCTTCTCCTCCCTCCTCGCCTCCCCCTCCTCCGTCTTCCCCCTCCTCCTCTCCCCCGCACCTGCTGGCGACAAGGGGAAGGGGGAGGCCGGGCAAGAGGAAGGGGAAGGAGAAGGAGAGAAGGAAGGAGGGTTGAGGTTGGGAGTGGTTGTGCGCGGTGTAGAGAGCTTGCTGGCGCTGCATGCGGAACCAGGGTTGGTTCTCGAGTCAGAGCTGAAGCTCACAGGTGGGTGGGTGGGATGGGCTGGGCTGGTTGGTGTTAGTGTTAGCCCTCAATCTCACACTTTGTACTTTATATTTTCTATATCCTAGAGTAGTGTAGTTTGCACTTTGTGTTTGGTTGGGTGTACACCTACATCCCAACCAAACCCAAATGTAATCTCCAAGCAGTCTCCAACCCACCAATTGGAGATTGCCTTGGGATTACTCCCAATCCCTAGGGATTACCCCCGATTCCTTTCCCCATCCATTCCCTACCCTTCTTGGATGTACTTAAAGAGCTTCAAGCTCATTACCAATGCATCAGTTCTAAGCCTAAGTTGTGACAGTTGGTTGGGTGGGTGAGTAGATGAGTGGATGGTGGGTGGCTGCATGCGGAGCCGGGGCTGGTTGGTGAGTCAGAGCTCAAGCTCACACGTTGGTGGGCGGACGGATGGGCTGGGCGGGTTGACTCTTGAGTCGACTCAAAAGTCAGCTTGCTGGCGCTGCATGCGGAGCCAGGGCTGGTTCTCGAGTCAGAGCTCAAGCTCACAAGTGGGTGGGCTGGCCGCTTGAGTGGGTGGCTAGGTGGGTGGTTGAGTAGATGGGTGGGTGAGTAGGTGGGTGTGTGGGTGAGTGGGTGGGTGAGTGGGTAGCTGGGACGGTGAGTGGCTGCGTGGGTGGGTGGGTGGGTGGGTGTGCAAGTGGGTGTGTGGGTGGGTGGTTCCGGAAAGCAGGTCATACTGGTATGAGGCAAATTCCCGGGATCTGAGGCTGTAGAAAGCCACAGGACTAGAGTATACTTGTAAGTCGACTGAAAACGCTCCCCTCCAACCTTACCGCTCCCCCTTTGCCATCTAATGTCCCCTTCGCCCCTCACAGTTCTTGCCCTGACGTGCCTGGTGCAGCAGTCTTGAGATGTCTCAAAACCCCCTTTGCCCTGCACTGCCTTGCTGCCCTTGCTCGTCGCACTTCTCGCTCTGAAGTACCTGGTGCAGCAGTCAGCAGCAGCAGCAACAGCAGCAGAGAAAAGGACCAGCCGCAGTGCTGGCAGCAGCAATGGAAGCAATGGTGCGGCTGAAGGAGATGAAGGAGGAGGGGAGCTGAGACACTCCCGTGCCTTCTCCTGTCCTCCTCCAACCCTCTCCCCTCCCCTTCCCCACTTTCAACGGCAGTTCTCGCCCTCACGTGCCTCGTGCAGCAGTCAGCAGCAGCAGCAGTGACAGGGTCAGACCTCCCACCCGCCATGCTGGCAGCAGCGATGGTGCGACTGAAAGAGGTGAAGCAAGTTAGAAATTCTCCCTCCAAGTTCTCCCTTCCCTCCTCTGCCTTTATCCCCCTGTGGCAGTGCTCGCCTTCACGTGCCTGGTGCAGCAGTCAGCAGCAGCAGTGACAGGGTCAGACCTGCCAGCTGCAGTGCTGGCAGCAGCGATGGTGCGACTGAAAGAGGTGAAGGAGGAGGCGAGCTTAACTCTCCCCCATTTTCATCAACACTCCTCCTACTTTCCCCTCTCTCCGCTCCCCCTACCCTCATTCTCCCCACGACCCCCATTGCCTCTCACAGTGCTCGCGCTCACGTGCTTGGTGCAACAGTCAGCAGCAGCAGCAGCAGTGACAGGGTCAGACCTGCCAGCAGCAGTGCTGGCAGCAGCAATGGCAGCAATGGTGCGGCTGAAGGAGGTGAAGGAGGAGACAAGCAGCATGGAAGGGAGCGAGGAGGGGGAGGAGGACGAGGAGGACGAGGAAGAGGAGGATGAGGACGATGAGGAGGTAAGATCGAAGGCAGTGGTGCAGTTGTGTCATGTGAGCTGAGTGCTGAGTGCTTTGCAGTCCTGCCAACAGCAGTGCTGGCAGTAGCTGTAGCAGCAATGGCAGCGATTTTGCAAGGGCAGTGGTGCAGTGGTGTCATGTGTGCTGTGTGCTTTGCAGTTGTGCCAGCTGCCGTGCTGGCAGCAGCGATGGCAGCGATGGTGCGGCTGAAGGAGGTGAAGGAGGAGGGGAGCAGCATGGAAGGGAATGAGGAGGGTGAGGAAGAGGAGGAGAGAAGGAGAGGTGGAGGGGAAACAAGAACTTGCCGCGGTTTAAATTGTTCTAATACTCTGGAAGAGGCGGAAGAGAAGGTCCAGGTAGTTTTTTAGAATTCTCAAGTGGGTTTTGAGAAATTTCAAAAACCACCTGCGAGAGTTGAAACTTGTTTCTTCATCGTCCGTGCTCTTCGTCTTCCCTCGTCGCATCTCACAAACTCTTTGTCTGGATCCAATCTCCTGGTCGATTTCTTTCGTCTACTCCTTCCTTATCCCCTTCAAATAAAGGTCTCTTTTATTCGCCTCAACAGCCATCTCCCTTTTTCTCTGCACGCTTCGTTTCTCCTCTCATTTCCCCTTTTCTGGCGCCATCCAGCCCGCGTTGGACGAGGATCTCGACGATGCTGAGCTGGAGGCGGCGCTGATGAGGCGATACGCGGAGGCGGCGACGATGATTGGCTCCCTGGAGGAGGACGAGGCTGACGTGGAGGATGAATACGGGGTTGAGCTGGAGCTAGGTGAGGAATATATGCTGATGTTCAAGGGCAGTGGTTGATGTTAGAAGGGAGTGCCGGGCTGGGTGTGGGGGAGAGGGAATAGAGCGGCAGTCAAGAAGAGGACGAGGCTGACGTGGAGGATTAGCACCTTCCAATGATGGAAGCAGTCAACATCCACACCTGAGCACCTTCCAATGATGGAAGCAGTCAACGTCCACACCTGAGCACATTCCAATGATGGAAGCAGTCAACGTCCGCACCTGAGCACCTTCCAATGATGGAAGCAGTCAACGTCCACACCTGAGCACCTTCCAATGATGGAAGCAGTCAACGTCCACACCACACCTGAGCACCTTCCAATGATGGAAGCAGTCAACGTCCGCACTTGAGCACCTTCCAATGATGGAAGCAGTCAACGTCCACACCTGAGCACCTTCCAATGATGGAAGCAGTCAACGTCCACACCTGAGCACCTTCCAATGATGGAAGCAGTCAACGTCCACACCTGAGCACCTTCCAATGATGGAAGCAGTCAACGTCCACACCTGAGCACCTTCCAATGATGGAAGCAGTCAACGTCCACACCTGAGCACCTTCCAATGATGGAAGCAGTCAACGTCCACACCTGAGCACCTTCCAATGATGGAAGCAGTCAACGTCCACACCTGAGCACCTTCCAATGATGGAAGCAGTCAACGTCCACACCTGAGCACCTTCCAATGATGGAAGCAGTCAACGTCCACACCTTAGCACCTTCCAATGATGGAAGCAGTCAACGTCCACACCTGAGCACCTTCCAATGATGGAAGCAGTCAACGTCCACACCTGAGCACCTTCCAATGATGGAAGCAGTCAACGTCCACACCTGAGCACCTTCCAATGATGGAAGCAGTCAACGTCCACACCTGAGCACCTTCCAATGATGGAAGCAGTCAACGTCCACACCTGAGCACCTTCCAATGATGGAAGCAGTCAACGTCCACACCTGAGCACCTTCCAATGATGGAAGCAGTCAACGTCCGCACTTGAGCACCTTCCAATGATGGAAGCAGTCAAGGTCCGCACCTGAGCACCTTCCAATGATGGAAGCAGTCAACGTCCGCACCTGAGCACCTTCCAATGATGGAAGCAGTCAACGTCCGCACCTGAGCACCTTCCAAGGGAAAGGGTACCTGCACACCTCAGCGTGATGTATCCCACAACCCTCCACGTCATGCCCTCACCAAGCTCACACAGCTGGGTACAAAGGAGCAGGCAGAAGTGACGGCGTGCGTGCAGTAGCACGTTGCTGCTCTTTCGCTTGTGAGCACTCTCTTTCGCTTGTGAGCACACTCTTTCGCTTGTGAGCACACTCTTTCGCTGCTACGTTTGAGAATTCTCAAGAGTAACATCAACGTTGCTGCTCTCGCTTATGGGCGCACTCTTTCGCTGCTACCGCGTTGCCCTTTGAGCTCATCACTCAACACTTCACCCTCCCTCACTCCCATGCCAGGCCTCACAGGGCTACAGGACGAGCAAGCGGGCATCAGGGCGTGTCTGCAGCAGCACTGGGCTGTGCTGGGTCGCCAGGTCATCGCACTCAAGCCCTCGCTCTCCCGTTCACCCGTCCTTATTGCTGCAGGCCTCACGGGGTTGCAGGACGAGCAGGCGGGCATCAGGGCGTGTCTGCAGCAGCTCAGGTCCTCCCTTGCTTTGCACGTGCTTACTTTCACCCCATCACTCTCCCCTTCAACCACCCTCCCTCCTCCACCAGGCCTCACAGGGCTGCAGGACGAGCAGGCGGGCATCAGGGCGTGTCTGCAGCAGCACTGGGCGGCTCTGGGTCGCCAGGTCGTGGCACTCAAGCCATCGCTCTCCTCCAACTTTGCCGAGGCCTTCCCTCCAGCCAAGCCATTCCTTCTTTGAGACTTCAAATCAACGGACAGCTCTGGGTTGTCAGGTTGTGGCACTCGAGCCCTCGCTCTCCGCTGACTTCGCCCAAGCCTTCCCTCCGGCCAAGCCATTCCTGCTCTGAGGCGATTATGGTATCAGGTCAGGCCCCTCTGATTTAATTCTGAGTTTGCTGAAGCTATTTCTGCTGCTGGGCAGTCACTCCCTCCCTAGTAGCATAAGTGAGCAGATTCAGAATAAGCCTAGGGCTGGCTGGAACGTAATAAGTACAATATTATGTAAAGTACTTTGTTGTTAAGATGCTTTACAGCACGCTTTAGGAAAGCGCCTATCTCAAGGTTGGGCTGATGTCACAACATGGGGAGCAACATTGGGCTGTTCATGATGTCATATTTTGTTATGTACCGTATGTGTCACCTCTATAAGGAGATTTTCTCCTGAAGCTTTGTATTCTACCTAAACTCGTGTAGCATCAGCGAGTTCGTACAGTTTACCTAAAGTCAAAGGAGTGCAACTCAGTCAACCTCGCCAAAACCATCAACCCCATGGAATAACTGCACACTTTGCGCCACACGTTACCCCCTCCAACCATCACTCGCCGTTTTCGCCTGGAGGGTGCGGCTCGAGCAACCCTGTTCGCCCCCAAGAAAGATGCCACAACTGTACCAGAAGTCATTTCGGATTCCAGAACCTGCCTGTCACTATTAGAATGGACTAAGATACTAGCGGAAGCTTTAGTAGTCTTAGAACCTCCTCCTAAAGCCTAGGAATCCTAGGAGCCCACTTGGGCATGAACCATGCTAGAACCAAAGTGGTTTCCAAAAGTGAAATACCAACAAGAGAGAACCCTAACCTATAGGGTTTGGGAGGTGGTCCACTCTAAAGAGTGTACACCACAAGTTCTCCCAACCCAACCAATGTATTCTACACTATCATAGTGTAGATGTACCACTACATATGTTTATTGGAGCAACCCGAATTAACCTTAATTCCAACAGTCACCAGGGGCGGGAAACCCTATCAGAAATCTGGCAAGTGAATAGTGCGGGAAGAAGAATGACTTGGGAATCACTGAGCACTCCCTCACACTTTTTGGGAATATGCCTCCCTCCTCGCCTCTCCTCCCCACCATACCAGTTTCGCTGCTGTTCTCCCTCCTCGCCTCTCCTCCCCACCACACCAGTTTCGCTGCTGTTCTCCCTCCTCCCTCCCTCCCTCCCTCCCTCCCACGCCCTTCATTTCATTCAATTCAAATTTCAAACATTCCAAGAAGCTCCAGCGCAAACACACACTTCACTCCACCCCATCCATCACAAAAAACCGGGTTCAGGTTGGAGGTGGGTTTGGTGGTTTCGAGGGTGGCATTTGACAAAAATTGCCAGGCGCAACTTTCCGCTCGATTTCCGACTGAGAACCGGCGGAAGTCACTGGTCAAAGTTGGGTTTTGCCGAGAAATGCAGTGGCGACCGAGTCGCGTCAAGCGCCACTCGGTGCCTCTTGATTTCCAGTGAATTTCGGGCGGGAATGAGATGGGGGGCGACGAGACCATAATATAGGCAAAACTGAATATTTGAAATGCGTCCAGTTTTCGCATCACCCAAGACGAACACTTCACCTCTGAGCTTATATATCACACATGTTAAAACTGCGTTGTGTGAGTAGATTAGAAGATCATAGACATGCTAACATTTCATTTTTAATTCATGTCAATAGTTGTGTGAATCATGAATTTGCTTGTTCTGGAAGATTTCAATTTAAATTCATTAATCAAAAGCGACACTATTTAACTCATGGTACACAAAAATGTGATGCTACACAGTATTAGATTTAGTATCAATATATTGTTTCGCGACGTCCGATAATAAACGTGTGCATAATGTTGCACCACGAATATGTCGTGTCGTGTCAACTTGCTGTATCGACGTCCGTTTGTCATTTTGTGTCAAACTTATATGCTATAGTCTGTGTAGGCTGTAGTGTGGTTGACTATATCGGGTACAACATTTCTAGGTTTTCCTACTTGTACCCACCTGCTTGATAGTTCATTCTTTCCTAGTGTGCTCTTAGCACGGACGTCCTTGAGGACACGCAGGAGGAGTTCCACTGTTTTGCTGCTTCTTTGCCTCATCTTGTGTCCACGCTGATTGCCCCTGAGGGAGACCCGGATGCACCAGACATCCCGACTCCTCGATCATACGCTGAGGCGATCGAGGGTCCCTACTCCTCTCAATGGCAGTCAGCCATAGACGCAGAGATGGCTTCCTGGAAGTCCACAAGCACCTACGTCGACGAGGTTCCCCCACCTGGGGCGAATATTGTCAGTGGCATGTGGATTTTCAGGGTGAAGCGGTCGCCAGGTTCTCCGCTTGTCTTCAAGGCGCGTTACGTGGCTCGAGGCTTCAGTCAGCGGCAGTGAGTTGACTGCTTTCAGACCTTCTCTCCCACCCGAAAGATTGTTGGGCTCAAACGCCATGGGATCTTTTGTAAAGCTAAAGTCTCAGTAAGTGACGTAATAGCGGAAGCGTTGAATAAAGTCCTTGAACCACCTTGCGCTAGTATGTGAGGGCAAAGTAAGTTAATTAAAGCAAAGATACACAGGAATATATATGAGTACAGAGAATATGAGGAGACATTATAATAACTACTTTACTGTTGCGGTTCAATACAGTGCGACTCGGGCAACTGCTCAATGTCGCGTCAGTTGTATGTCTTTGCTCTCGCGCTGCATTTGTCAGGTCAAAGGTCGCTGACCTTTGACTTTCTCGTAACCTCCAGCGGTTACGTTAACCTCCGAGGGTTGACTCGAGGTGCTTCGTGTGAAAACAAGTGAACAGGAATGAGAATAACTAAGTCAGAGTTGGGTACAAATACAACCCCAGAAAGCTGTACCCCATATGTGCTACCCCACTATAGCCTACAAACATGCATCAGCTATAATACTCTGACACACCCCCATAGGCTAAGTGGGGGAGAACAAGGGGTCACAAGACCAGTCAAGCAAAGCAAAGCAAAGCAAGCTCAGGGTGGATCACAAAGTCACCACACAGTCCGAGCACAAGAGCAGTGCCAGAGGCCAGTTCACATGCAGGAGTACAGACATATATATAAAACTAGACAAGCAAGAGCAGGTATATATATATGTCACAGTACAAGTGAAGTCAAGAGGAGAGCAAGTGAGGCAAGACAGGTACAAGACCCAGCTGGGTGCAAAAGCGCTGATGGTCACAAGGCGCGAGTGCCTTGGTGAACACATCAGCAGTGTTGGCCTCAGAGGCCACGTACGCAAGTCGCAACTGACCACGTTGCTGCAGCTCACGAGCAAGGAAGTAGCGGAGAGCAATGTGCTTCGTTCTGTGCTCCAAGCGCTGCTCTCGACACAAGGCCAGCATGGCCTTGTTGTCTACGTACAGCACTGGAGGAGAACGAGGCGGCTCTCCAAGGTCAGTCAGCAGGTAGGTGAGCCAGCGAAGCTCCTGTGCAGCCATGGCCCCGGCGTAGATCTCAGCCTCACAACTGGAGCCGAGAACCGAAGACGAGCGAGTAGACCGCCACGAGACAGAGCCGGAACCAAGGCTGAAGGTGTAACCCTGTGACGACCGCTGCGTAGCCTGGTCGTCAGCCCAAGAAGCGTCCGCGTGGCCGGTAAGGACCACTGGACTCCGCCCTCCAAGCACTAGCCCCATGCCCGACGTACTGCACAGGTAGCGCAATACCCTCTTCGCTGCAGCCATGTGCTCCGGTCTGTGTCTCCCAGGAGCAACATAGCGTGCAAGAATGCTCAGAGGGTATGCAAGGTCAGGTCGTGTGCAGGTCATCAGGTACATGAGGCAGCCAACAAGCTCTGCATACGGACCACTCGACTCTACGGACTCATCCGAAGGCAGAGCTGAGAGTGAGTGGCGAGTAGGCAGAGGAGTGGCCTGAGGCGAGGAGTACGTGAAGCCGAAGCGCTGAAGGACCTGCTGCACCATGTGTGACTGAGTCAAGGTAATGGTGCGGCGTGCTCTGTCCCGAGTGATCTGCAAGCCAAGGTAGCTGCGCAGTTCACCCAGGTCTGTGCACGTGTGTCTCTTCAGCAGCTCGGACTTCACGTAGGCGAGTCCAGCAGTGTCCGCTGTGGCAAAGACCAAGTCGTCGACGTACACGAGGATGTAGAACGGCGGCAGGGAAGTGTCGGTGCGAAGAAACAGCGACGGGTCAGCAGTAGAAGGAGCAAACCCAAGAGCCGCAAGCGTAGTCCTCAGTGTGTCGTGCCACTCACGCGGTGCCTGGCGGAGACCGTAGACTGGCCGTCGGAGGCTCCACTGGGTGCCAGGAGGGAAAGTCCCAGTGAAGCCAGGTGGACGGCGAAGCCAGATCTCCTCGTGCAGGCTACCCTGCAAGAACGCAGTGCTTAAGTCGAGGGAGTGAAGCTCGTAGTCGCGCTGAGCGGCTATGTGCAGCAGCACCCGAAGAATAGTCATCTTCGGGGTGGGAAAGAAGGTCTGAAAGTAGTCAACTCCCTGCCGCTGACTGAAGCCACGAGCAACGTACCGTGCCTTGAAGACAGGTGGAGAGCCCGGCGGCCGCTTCACCCTGAAGATCCACATGCCACTTACGATGTTCGCCCCAGGAGGGGGAACCGCGTCAACGTAGGTGCCTGTGGACTTCCAGGAAGCCATCTCTGCATCCATAGCTGCCTGCCACTGAGAGGAGTAGGGACCCTCTACGGCCTCCGCGTAAGAACGCGGAGTCGGGATGTCTAGTGCATCCGGGTCTCCCTCAGGGGCAAGCAGTACAGACGCGAGATGAGGTGAAGCAGCCGCTAGACACTGTCACTCCTCCTGCCTGTCCTCTAGGACGTCCGTGCCAAGAGCACTCTCACCCCTAACGGACGGAAGAGAGACAGACGCAGACTCAGCAACAAGACTAGCAGCGTAGTCGAGACGACATCGAGCAGCAAAGTCGACGAGCTCAACGACTAGAGCAGACGCAGCAGTGGACTCAAAAGAGGGGTCAGTGACGACAGTAGCAAG